TGTACGGTCGATTAGAAAACAATGCTTTTGTTCCGGAATGCGCGTTAATTTCCTTCTACAGTCTGCCAGAGGTGAATCCAAACACTCCTGCTGGATAGATAATCCTTGATTGTTCATACTGCTTTCTCCAGAACGAGAAATATAAAGTGCAAAAGTATGAAAAAAATAGTTCCAGTCGACTAGCAGTCACGCAAGAATTTCAAAAAATTCTCATGAATATCATGCTCGTGAAGCCCGCAGTTTTCTTATAGAAAAATTACTAGAAATACCAGTTTTCAACATTGCGGTCAAAAGTTTCAATGGGGCCAATCCATAATAATTACTCCCCGACTCCATGAGGATGCAGAAATCCCTCAAGTAGGGGTTACTGGCAGATATGAAAGGACAACATATGGCTTTGAAGTAATATTATTAGAGAAGACATACCGTTTTTAGGATTCCTCCCAGACTGGCTAATGGTGATAATGGAGTTGACCTTGATAGTGACCTTGAATATTGAATGTACTTTTCACGGAAAACCTTCTTTCATGCAGTTCTTGAATATTTCGGATGTAGGATATTATTATAACTTGTAATAAAGTCAGAGGGAAGGAGTAAAACGTGTTGTAGTTAGGATTTATTTGAGACTGACCAATTAATTGTTAACATGGATTTGACCTTAAATAGTGATTTTTGGGTCTAAAAAGTGTTGAGTCAGTCAAAGCAAAATTACTTGACCTTCAAGGTCACAGTCAAGGTCAAATCCACGTTCACTGATGGCCTCTGTCGGATAAATTTTAACAACAGTAAGTATTACTTCTTCTCTGTCAACATTACAAGTTAAAATGATATCCTAAGTTCTACCAACTGCCGCTATGGGGGAGGTTCTGGGTTCTATAGAAGTTTGGGGAGGTGCTTCCTAACTATGACCTTCAAATGTTGCGTTTCCGAAATATTCAAAGTAATGCATGTCAAACTCAAAGTCAATGAAGCCGACTAGTGGATTCCAAAGACCTTTCACGCAGAGTCCTCTAATCCTTGGTAAAACTGACACCAGCTTGACTTAAGCACCCAATTGATTCACTCAAGTAAAGGATTTCCATCTAAATTGCGGACTACCAAAACTCTTTATAAATTCTCTATTAATAATCAACTAATAACTGAAATATTTACTACCACTATCAATTAACCCTTGTCAACATTTACCCTAAATATCGATTCTTTATCTTACTCATTACCCTGTACTAAATTACGTCAGCTTTCCTTATTTCAAAGTTCGCCAATTTCACGCTTTTCGTCGTATACCCACAGATTATTTGAGCAAACAAAAAATGTTTCTTCTGAAATTTCGCACGAAAATAAAGGGTTTTTCTCTGACAAGTGACTAACACAGCTTTTCCGCTCCCTCATAAACTTCTAACGAAGCTAATTTCCATCTGTGGCCATAAGTAAGACATTTTTTACCGGTGCCACAACCAAAGTAAATAAAACCTGACCCTCGAACACAAACGATGAAAAAACCTTATTAAAACTTGGAAGCGCGCGGAAAATCATTTTGCGCTGAAAAGGAATTTCCACCGTAATAAAATAAAACGTGTATCTTGGAGAGCCACATAACTTTCTTCCACGTTGATCAAAGTTCTATTTCCATAAGTTTTAATGAAAGGGTCCATGGAAAAATAAAACAGTAGAAATACGCACGAAAATGTCTGTTTTCACCGTTTTCCACCGGGTCGGAAAAGTTCCTTGCACTTTTTGCCGCCTAGAAAATGAGAAACTGCTGGATAAGTTCCAAGTGGAAGACTTACTTGAACGCTACAGTCCTATTAAGGCGAACATAGAATGCTGTATACAGGGTGTCCCACGTAGAAATGCAGGTATTCCTTAATGTAACATCACTTATCCCGTGGTTTTCATGCGGTAAATGATACATCGCTCACACATCAAGACCTCAATATTATACAACGATGATAGCAATTACAAAAGGAAGGTAAGGCAAAGGAGCGTATATAAAAATAAACACAATCGCCTTCCTAGTTATTCTGTGGAATGTGACCGAATTGCGTTGAGTATCCTTCAAGGAAAGATCTAAATGATATTTGATCCAACCTATCAAATGGACGTTGAGTTTTTTACTTCCCAGTCTTTTCTTAAGGCTTATTATTGGATCCTGAATGCGCAGATGTTTTACTTCGCCATTTCTTGGCCAAGTTGCTGTGAATTATGCTATACTAAGTGACATATAAATCCGAACACCCAGTTTAAATGGTTTTATTTTAATAAAAGTTGGTGAATGTATTTATCTTACTGTAAATAACAAGTGAAAAAATTTTCAGCCTTATCAGTTGGACATTCCGGTTTTTATACTGCTTTTTTTTAATTCACTAATGCTCTAAAAATGAATATTTCAGCCGCAGTAAAGAATCAACGTTGGCGGATTTTGGTTCTTGACATCCTTTACGATCGGTTACGATGCCTAGAGTACGGAGACCAGTACGATTTCGTCAACTTAGTGAGTTTGATAGGGGCCGTATAGTGGGACTTCGGGAAGCTGGACTTTCTTTTCGGGCAATTGCAGTTAGAGTGCAAAGAAGTGTAGACACTGTGGTTAGGTGTTGTCAGGCAAGGCTTCGAGAAGGCCGTACGCAAAGAGCAAGGGGCACTGGACGCCGCCGTAGAACAACAGACCGTGAAGATCGCCGCCTAAGATTATTGGCCTTAAGGGACCGTTTCTCCACTACCAGGTCCATTGCAAATGAATGGTTTGCAGAACACGGAAGACCTATTGCATGCGAAGTGTTTACCGACGAATGAGAAGTTTTGGCTTGTTTTCATACCGGCCACACTGGGTCCTCCCTTTAACTCGAGAACACCGACGTAATCGCCTTGAATGGTGCAGACAACGGTCACTCTGGGATCAGGAATGGAACAGTATTATCTTTAGTGACAAGTCTCGATTTTGTTGAGGCATGCACGATGGTCGTGCCAGGGTTAGGAGGCGACGTGGTGAAAGGAGGAATCCACAGTTTTTTGTTGAAAGACATGTTCTTCACACTGTTGGAGTTATGGTTTGGGGTGCTATAGCTTATGGTTCCAGGTCACCTTTAATCTTCATCAGAGGTAACATGAACGCGCAGCGTTATATTCACGAAGTTCTAGAACCCCATCTTTTACCCTATCTTGACACCCTGGCAGATCCAACTTTCCAACAAGATAATGCCCGACCACATGTTGCAAGAGTCACAATAGACTTCTTTCAACATAATGATGTCACATTGTTACCATGGCCACCAAGATCTCCCGACTTATCCCCAATTGAGTACGTGTGGGATATGCTGGGTAGGAGATTGCTCAATTTGCAACGTCCTCCTCAGACTCTAGAAGCACTTCGAGAGGAGTTGGTGGTTGCCTGGAATGAGATACCACAGGAGGACATTGACCACCTGATGAGAAGCATGCCTAGGCGCGTTGGAGAATGCGTAGCACATCAGGGTGCATCAACACATTATTAAAGGTCAAAGGGCTTTAAAGCAGTGCAATCATTTTGAAATTTTTATCATTTACTTATTATGCTTCATTAAGTACTTATACAAAATTTTATTAAAATAAAACCATTTAAACTGGGTGTTCGGATTTATATGTCACTTAGTATATTTCCTCACAAGACAGATATAGTTTCCGGCACATACCAAAATTTGGTCATATGGTGCGCAATACCAAGATCCTCCCACGGACCGGCGGCATTAATGCATGGTACCTCGTCCGCCGTTATTCCAGTAGCGTAGAGAGTACCGACTGACACCTACAGCTGAAGTTAAGGCACACGTTTTGTTTATAGAATAGTGATAATATTTCTACTATGAGTAATCTGGGTAGAAATAAGGTTTTCTCCAACCAGACGAGTGAGATGGTATACAATGTATATCACTACATCCTCAATTTGAAAACTGGCAGTGACGGTTCCCAAAATATGGTAGAGATTCAAGCTGAAGTAGCCTAAGCAACAGGAGTATCAATTGCCATTTTTAAAAAGGTTAAGGATGCCAGAAATAATGGACAAGAACGAGCAGCGTTTCCTGGTGAAATTAGTACTGCACGAAAGCGCAAATTTCCCGTGGCAGATCTGTCAAACGAGAATTTCGCTACTGCAGATATAAGAAACATTATCTATAATTTCCATTTAACAAGCTCGTCTTGAGTACCAATCGGAGCGTTTAGGAAGAGACTAGAAGAAGATTTCGATTGGGATGGTAGCGAAGGATCTTTGAGAAGAATCGTTAAACAGCTCGGCTTTAAATGGAAAAAACACAGAATAATAGAAAACTACTCATCGAGAAATGGGACATTCGTCAACCAAGAATTAGCTATCTACAGAAAATCAAGTACTTCCGAGGACAGGGCCGCAAAATTATATACCTAAGTGAGTCCTACATACATGCCGGACATACTAGGGCTAAAAGTTGATGGTAGTGAGTGGGGTCTCTTTTCCAAAATATCCAAAGGAAAGCGGCTAATTATGATCCATACAGGTAGTTCGGACAGCTTCATAAATGACGCTTTATTGATCTTTAAATCAGGTACAAAAAGCGGAGATTATCATTACGAGATGAATAGCTCAAATTACGAGAGATGAACTGCTGTCTTTATTCTTGTCTAAAGGCCGTCGTCGGTTGGAATTCCTTCCTAACTTTTCTCTAGCACGAGTGGCAAGCTTCTTCAGAGGTCCTTCCATTTCCGATGCTGGATGTAGTCTACATAGCAGTTTATCAACTGGCCGCGAAAGCCTTAACCAATTTTACGAGAAATGGTTGAAGAAGAAGCTTATTCCAAATTTGCCACCAAATTCTGTGATAGTTACTGACAATGCACCTTATCACAACATACAAGTGGATCCTGCACCAAACTGCAACTCTCGGAAGGAAATAATGGTTGACTGGTATGTATCTAAAAATATTAGATTCACACCGACTAAGGTGAATTGATAAAGCAAAATAACCAGCAATTCATACAGTATAAATATTATGTACCATTACGCATGTATGGACACAGTTATACGACTACCACCATATAATCCCGATTTAAATCCTATTGAATTGATATGGGCTACAGTGAAGAACAGAGTTGCAGATCGAAATATCACATTTACTTTAGATGACGCACAGCGAATAGCGGAGGAGGAATTTTCAAATATAACACCACATGACTGGAAGAAACGATGTGATCATGTCATCAAAATTGAAACGGAATATCTGGAACGGGAAGATAAAGTATACGCGATATCTGAAGAATTTATTATTAACATCGGGAATGATGACACCGATAGTGACAGTGACAGTGATGTGGGAGATAGCGAGTCCTTACCTTCCTAAAGCATGCGTTTACAAGCAGGATAATGACTTACATTCTATATTTTGCAGTTAAAAGGTGAATATCTTATTAGATATATTCATGTTTCGGATATATTTAGGTAAGCATTAGGCTTTCAAACTGTCCTGACCTTTTTTAATCTCTTCCTTATATTAAGCTGTGGACTTCTGTAAAGGGTTGTTTTATTGAATCGTATTAATTCTGTTTTGGGTAATCGCTACAATACTACTTTGTACATATGTATCTAATAATATACATGTAAAAATATAAGTAATAAATATAGCGGATACAAGTGTTTCATTATTGACCTAAGCGCAAATAAAGCTAATGTTTTTTCTTAATTAAGAAGATGGTTCACTTTGCTTGAAGATACTTTCTCAAATTCATATGACCAACGTGAAAAATTTCAAAGCACGTCACTGCGAAGTGAAACAATAACATGACATTAAGTACAACCCTCCACCATCTCGAGCGTTCCTATTGGCTTTCACTTTCAGGGTTAGAAGATATGCCTGTCTGAGAGTAAATCTTGGTAGGTGCCTGCACCTGTAACATAGTTCCCTATAGATGTCGTAGTATTTTTCGCGTTGCATATCCATAAACAACAGATATGCAGCCTTTGTAGTAGAAGATTGCACAACAATTCACCGGTGTGTTGCGACAAGAGTTCTGGGTGGGTTTTCGCGTTTTTTGAGGAACACTCAGAAGTACGTTACGCAGAGATCTGGGAGTTATATACCCAGAAATTGTTTCCGAATTCAAATACCGATTAAACGTGTACAAGCGCCACGAGTAGTTATTCCAATACATAACAACAAATAATAATAATATAATAATAATAATAATAAATAATCATAAAATTTTTCTATGCTATTTCATAAATATAGATATACACGTTTCACACTTACATATATATACAGGGTGACTTCGAAGTTGAGTCATTTATTTTAACAGTGAGTAGATCTGATCAAAAGAAATGTTTTTTTCCTTTACCATTTTTCTGGTAAAATTAAAGTAACAAAGTTATAGCCCTTTGGAAGTTTGAGTACCGCCCTGTTCAATAATACTCGTAATATCATGTGCTCGTGTTTGGCAACAACGGATATAATCCGCCTCGGTTCATCGCATCGGAAACAAAAAAGCGAAAGAATTTGGAACGATGTTTTACAATTATTTTTTTCAGTTCAGTTATACATACAGTCTGTGTCAGTCGGTAAGGCGTGTGAATAGTGTCTGTTGCGTGGCTCAAACGAAATAAAAAATGGCACATGTTTATGCGGATCGGTTTCCCAATTGAGTGCAACCAACCCCTCGTGCCTTTGTTAATGTAGTACAACGGGCTCGTGAATCAAGTGACTTAAGACCTCACAGGAGACCTCACGATCAAATACAGGTCCGCACTGAAATACTTGTCGGGAGGATACTTTATAAAACAAGGTAAAAATTTTTTTTTATTTTTTTTTATTTTTACACACATATTTTGGTTTATCTTCCTTCTACAATCATTATCTGAAAATTAATGACTCAACTTCAAAGTCACCCTGTATAAGCAGTAGTCATTGCCAAAGCCAACGACCAGTTGGGTACAAAATACAATTAATTGTTAATTGGGAAATTGGCAAATCTCTTAGGCTTAAGTTGACTCATTTGACGATAAAATCAACCTTTCGTCATTCTCTATGGAGCCTTCATCAGGATTCTGAAAATACAATTGTGATGCTAGTAAAGAAAACAGGACAGATTTAAATTGTCAGACAACTTACTCGTCGGTGAGGTTGCAGCCACAAGGTGTTTCGGAACGAACGTAGAGAAGATCGAACTTATAATCAGTATAAAAACAAAAGGACGGGGACATTGGGCTTGTTGGAAAACGACAGATACCTTCGTTAAATGTTAAAAATATTAATCCACCCGAACAAGTTAAAAATATTACACGTGAGACGACATTTTGTTGAAACAATCGGAATGCAGTCTCTAACCTTCTATTTCCGCTGCACGTGGAGAGCGGGACGGCACGGAACGATAAAGCGTCGACAGATGACAAGTAATTGACGCGACGGACCGTGGAACTGTAAACCTCCCTGTCCAGCTTTGGGTATGAAGTATACGAGGGACGCTCGGTAAACCTCCACCCAAAATTACTAAAATGCTGAATTAACTTGTTTTGGAACAACATGTGTAGTTCATATGAATGTAAGAATGTGTGATATTGATGAAACCTTGAAAAGATGGGTTATGTGAGTTTATATTAAAAAAGTGAGTGAGAAAATGTATTCCAATTTTGTGAAGATGTTGGTTCAATTTGGATATGTAGCCGTTATAGCTTTTCGCAATTCAACAGGTAGGAATAAATGACACTGAGCTGCTTAACATCAGCCTTTTTATTCATGCAATGATCTGTCATGAAAATGTGGGACATTTCTAAAAATAAACGTCTTGAGAGTCTTTTTTCTTTATCAAGAACCTCAACACTGCCATAATTCATAGAGTGACCTGTGTTGTTAATATGCGGTGCCAAGGCACATCTCTCTGGATGTAATCTGGCGTCACCTTTGTGTGAAGTTATCCTGCCTTTCAGCGACCTAGAAGTTTGGCCTATATAAACTAAATTACAGTTGTTGCAATTAATACGATAGACAGTATTGGTTGAATCAAGCAACTGAACCTTATCCTTCATTTTGGACAACAAACTGTTGACTGTGACCACTGATTTACAAGCAAAACGAAAATTAAAGGAATTATACAGCCTGATCAATTTTGGTGTTAGTTCTTTGATGTATGGCAAAACAACATAATTAACTCTGGAAGTAGGAGCAACCACTGTAGTGCTGTTGTTCTCATTAGTTGAAGAATTAGTGGGTATCTGGTTGGACTGACCAGTGTTGTCATTTTCACTATTGTTATTAGTCATTGGCAAAATATTCGGAGGAGAGCTGAACAATATTCTGTTAACCAAATACTTAGGATAGCCATTCTTGATAAATAAGACTGAAAGCTTCCTTAAATTGGAAAGATGGAAAGTACTGTCAGAGATTTTTATAACCCTGTTCTTCATTTGTTTCACCAGGTTTATCTTTATTTTAAGTTCATGGTAAGACCTGAAGTTCAGGAACCTTCCGGAAGAAATTGGTTTCCTGTACCAGTCTACCAGTAATATATTATCATTGGTACGAATCAATCTTGAATCCAAAAAGGGAACAGATTGATTGTCATCTTCTTTTTCGATGGTGAACTGGATGTAGGGATCATAACTGTTAAAAACCTCAACAATATCATCCATACTATCATAAGGAAGACAAACGATTATATCGTCCACATACTTTTTTATGAAAATTAGATTGTATGGCAATACTTGAATAACAACATCAAGCAGGTCATCCATTACATATTCTGCCAAAATTGGAGATAAAACAGAGCACATGGCTGCCCCTATCGGCTCAACAATGGTGTGCAATACAATGGAGTGATGAGTTCCGATTCGAAGTTTGTGTTGGTGACAGTCGCAGTTATTCGCAAAAAAGTGAAGCATTCCATGTTGACCGTCTGAAGAGAAAAGTGAAATTTTCAGCATCCATTATGGTCTGGGGCAGTATGTCATCAAAAGGAGTAGGACAACTTCATTTTATTGATATAAATGTGGATACAAACAAATATTTGGCAATTTTAGAAGAATCGCTTTTACCAGTGATGGAATAATGTTTGACATCCGGCTAACATTTTGTGTGTCAGCAAGATGGTGCAGCGTGCCATACCTCAAAAAAGGCTATAAAATGGATGGAAGAAAATAATGTACCACTTTTCAAATGGGTTTCTAGCAGTCCAGATCTGTCACCTATTGAAACTTTGTGGCACGAGATGAAAAAGGATCTACGACAACATCCTGCTCGTGCAATCACCGAACTAAGACAAAAGCTTCAAGAAATATGGGATTGTTTTACACCAAATTTTTGCCAAAACTTGGTTAACACTATGCCCCAAAGAATTTCAGCCGTAATAAAAAATAAAGGTGATGTTACCCAATGGTAATCTTTTTATTTTATTCGCACATTGTTTATTTGTTTAGATGTTCTATTAGTTATAGGTCTAAGTGATTTCAAATATGTATTTTTTACGATTAGAGTGTATCTAAGATGTTTTTGAGAAAATAAATTGTTTTAGAAGTAAATCGTTTCGTCATGTTTAGTTTATAAAGGCATATTTTGGTACAAATCTTGAAGTGGGCCAACTGAAGTGGGAAGGGGCTCGTATATATATATATATATATATATTCCACTTTAAATGTCTAAATATACACCTAGATATTTTAATTTGTTTGTTAAGTTTATTTGAGTATGGGTATTATCACCATTAATCTGTACAGAAACAGAGGATGGTGATTTTTTTTAAGATTTGTGAATGGCATGAACATATTTTTTTGGATGCTGATAGTTAGGCATTTATTTCTGAACCAGTCTGCAGTTATTATTAAGTTTCTTTCAACCACTTCCTTTAGATCATTCCACTAGTTGTCGTCCGAATAAAAGTACCGTCAGCAAAGCATATGATTGTACCTTAGATTTTAAGCTAAGCATGCTATTAATGTAAAGTATAAATAATAAAGGGCTTAATATCGTCCCTTGTGGGACACCGTAAGTTACCAATTTGTTTGTGCTTAAGGAACTATTTATTTGTACGCACTGTTTTCTGTTTGAAAGATAACTTTTCATGCGGTTATAAGCCTCTGATTCCTGAATCGTATAAGATTTCTTCTTGCATCTGCAAGTGGTCTTCCGAGTCGAATGTTTTTGCTAGATCTAAGAACACACACACTGTCGAGTGATTTGTATAATTTTGACGTCAAAACAGGAATTGCGCCTTGGATAGATTTGTTTTTCTGGAATCCAAGTTGTTTTTCATTATGATATTTCATATCAGTTTATGTTAATCAAAAAAAAAAATAGAAGTCCTGCTTTTATGATTTTCTCAATCATTCTTGAAAAGCTGGATATTTGAGTTATAGGCG